TGGAGGCAATTTTTCTCCTGACGTTTCGTCTTCATCTATGGCAAGCATCCTCAGAGGTAGTGAGGTCTGTTGGAAGTAGGAAAAATGGGTTTATATATCTGTGGAATGACCAGGGTGAGACAAAGGACTTTTGTCTGCTGGGGCTAGCTGTGAATGTTTCAGCTGATCACCTTGATTAGCATTCAATGGCTTGGAAGTGCCTGGGGGGAATCTTTTGTTGAGAGTGATTTTATGTGCCTGTTGTTTCCCCTCTGTTGTTTTGCTGTTGTAATTTTTGAGTTTGGAGTATTGGCTATCTCTCCCAATTTGGTGTCGTCTGCAAACTTGATGATCATGCCTTCTAGCCCTTCATCTAAGTCATTAATAAAGATGTTGAACAGGACCGGGCCCAGGACGGAACCCTGCGGCACTCCGCTCGTCACTTCTTTCCAGGATGAAGAAGCATTGGTGAGCACCCTCTGGGTTCGTCCATTTAACCAATTACTGATCCACCTCACCATAGTTTTGCCTAGCCCACATTGGACTAGTTTGTTTGCCAGAAGGTCATGGGGGACCTTGTCGAAGGCCTTACTGAAATCCAGGTACGCTACATCCACGGCATTCCCCACATCTATCCAGCTTGTAACTCTATCAAAAAAAGAGATCAGATTAGCCTGGCATGACTTGTTTTTGATAGATCCATGTTGACTATTAGCGATAACCGCATTTGTTTCTAAGTGTTTGCAGACCACTACCTTAACAATCTTTTCCAGAATCTTGCCTGGTATCGACGTGAGGTTGACCGGACGGTAATTGTTTGGGTCATCCTTTTTTCCCTTCTTGAAGATGTTGGAAATGAGCAGCATGGTACTGTCATCTCTGATTAGTAGTTTTGGAAGATGTGCATGGTTGGAAAAAAAAATAAAACGATTTCCAAATTAGATATCTTGTGCTTTTGGAAGAGGAATCCCATTTCCTTGGCTGTTGAGGCCTTAAAAAGATGATCCATACCTTCAATCCATCTTGGCATCACTGCATGTGGACCTATGAACAGCACCTTTCAAGCTTTGCCACAAACTTTCAATTATACTGTGATCTGGGTTTTGACTAATTCTAAAACATTCAGGTTATAATTTTTACACCACTCCGCCATAAATTGTCTTTATACTCACTGTCCTGCTAGAAGGTAAACATCTGGATCCAAGATTCCTTGTAGGCCAAATCAGGCTTTCTTGTTGCTTTGTATTTAATAATAATAAAATATTATTTAGATCAACCTATCTTGCCATGTATTCTGGTCAGTTTCCCTTTCAAACCAAAGAAAACATCTCCACATGACATTTTATAATGGGGTGTTTTCAAGGAAATCAGCACTTTTGTGGCAAATGTTTAACTCATCAGACCACTGAATGTTTTTGATTGCCAAGTGTCTAACAAGCCTTTTTACCAATTTAAAAAAATCGTTTATCTTCTTTCTCACCTGAGTGATAAGTTGTTCCCATCTTAGCTGTTGCTCCCTGCAGCTCATTAACCTTTGGCCTCTTGGTTAGTTTTTCTTTTTATTGACATCAGGTGGATAGTATTCTACAGTTCATCCATATCATATTTCTTAAGAATGTATTAAATAGTACTCTAGGAGATGTTCAAAGTATAGTCTCGTCCTGTCCCATCCCCCCAAATTACCTGACTGGTGCTTTTGCACAACTTTACTAAATATTTTGCTGGCTCCTTGGTCTTCATGGTACTGTTTGTTATATTCTTCAATGACTTCTGGGCCCTTCCAAAATGTATCTAAGCTGAGATCATGTGCCGTTGGAAATGCACAAAGGTGGACAGCATTACATTGCTTGTGATTTCTAGATTATACCAGTCTCTTGGTTAATTCACATGTCACACTAAGGAGGATTAATGTCACAGCAAGGGAAGTAAATAGGTATGCAATTAGCAAGTACCAGTTTTCGTTTCTGTACTGTTTGTGGCAACAAGAATGATTGACAACTGGAAAATAGAGGGAGAAAATGTGGAGGCCATGACAGACTTTGTATTTCTAGGTGCAAAGATTACTGCAAATGCAGACTGTGGCCAGGAAATCAGAAGACGCTTACTTCTTGGGAGGAGAGCAATGTCCAGTCTCGATAAAATAGTAAAGAGTAGAGACATCAGACTGGCAACAAAGATCCGCCTAGTCAAAGCCATGGTCTTCCCTGTAGTAACCTACGGATGTGAGAGCTGGACCTTAGGGAAGGCTGAGCGAAGGAAGATCGATGCTTTTGAGCTGTGGTGTTGGAGGAAAGTTCTGAGAGTGCCTTGGACTGCAAGAAGATCCAACCAGTCCATCCTCCAGGAAATAAAGCCCGGCTGCTCACTGGAGGGAAGGATACTAGAGACAAAGTTGAAGTACTTTGGCCACATCATGAGGAGACAGCAAAGCCTAGAGAAGACAATTATGCTGGGGAAAGTGGAAGGCAAAAGGAAGAGGGGCCGACCAAGGGCAAGATGGATGAATGGCATCCTTGAAGTGACTGGACTGACCTTGAAGGAGCTGGGGTGGTGACGGCTGACAGGGAGCTCTGTTGTGGGCTGGTCCATGAGGTCACGAAGTCGGAGACGACTGAACGAATGAACAACAACAACTGTTTGTGACATGGTAACAATATTTGACAATGTCTGAGTTAGAGCTTCCTAATATATACAAAATTGGGTTTAAAAAGTACATTTATGAACGAATTATAAATGCACTTTTGCCCAAATGCAAAATGCAGTACATGTCCAGATGATCTCCTCTTACATTAATATTTCTGCTGGAATGTATGCTACGTCTTGCAGTAACACACAAGTATTTCCGAGTTGACTTCCAAGAGACGAATCCCACAACTGTTAGAACATTTAGTATTTACAGTAATAAAAATCTTATTCAGAGTGTGGCTTCATACATTTTAAAACATAAAAACCAAGTCTGACTTAGCACACAGATATCCGTTACCGTAGCATCCGGAACACCGGGGTATATTCATGTTGCCAAGCTATTACGGGAGGAGGGAATCTCTAAGACAGAGGTCCTCAAACTTTTTAAACAGAGGAGCAGGTCACAGTCCCTCAAACTGTTGAAGGGCCGGATTATAATTTTTTTAAAAATGAATTAATTCCTATGCACACTGGACATATCTTATTTGTAGTGCAAAAAGCACTTAAAAACAATACAATAATTAAAATGAAGAACAATTTTAACATATAAACTTATTAGTATTTCAATGGGAAATGAGGGCCTATTTTTGGCTGATGAGATAGGACTGTTGTTGTGTGCTTTCGAGTTGTTTAGGACTTAGGTTGACCCTGAACGAGGGCCGGGTAAATGACCTTGGAGGGCCGTGTCCGGCCCCCGGGCCTCAGTTTGAGGACCCCTGCTCTAAGACATTCTATTATGATGCTGTAAGTCAGTGGTTCTCAACCTTGGGTCCCCAGATGTTTTTAGCCTTCAACTCCCAGAAATCCTAACAGCTGGTAAACTGGCTGGGATTTCTGGGAGTTGTAGGCCAAAAACATCTGGGGACCCCACTGCTGTAAGTGGAGATGTGTTTTCTATGTTTAAAATAGGAATTAAGTATACATTGGAACTATGTTTTCACTCAGTTGGCAGGACTTTCTCTTCATTGCCCCTCTGCTGCAGATCCCCACATTTATTTATTTACGACATTTATATGCTGCCCTTCTCACCCCGAAGGTGACTCAGAGTGGCTTACAAGGTATATATTACATACAATATATTATATTATTAGCATAGTACAATATCAGCATTAAACATTGCTATATTGCACCATACCATTATATCGGTTCTGGCCCTACTTACCTCTCCGAGCGCATCTCCTCCTATGAACCGACTAGGACTCTAAGATCATCTGGGGAGGCCCTGCTCTCTGTCCCGCCTGCATCACAGGCGCGCTTGGCGGGGATGAGAGACAGGGCCTTCTCAGTGGTGGCCCCTCAGCTGTGGAACACCCTGCCTGTAGATATCAGATCGGCCCCCTCCCTGCTGGCGTTTCGGAGGAAAGTGAAGACCTGGCTGTTCGAACAAGCATTTGATTAAACAGTGTAATTGAACATAGGAATACGGAATAATGGATGATGAGACTGGATTCCGATTTTACTGTTGAGGCACTAATGATTGTTATACAGATGTTTAATGATTTATGTTACAATTGTTTTTAATTGCCCTATACTTGTCTCGTGATGTTTTGTATTGATGTTGTTCACCGCTTTGAGTCGCCTGAGGGCTGAGAAAAGCGGTATATAAATAAAGTAAATAATAAATAAATAATATCGTAATATTATTAGTAATATTACATGTAATATAAATATCTATATAAATAAAAATGTAATGTTAGTTTGTGGGATTAACAGAAGTTAAAAGCCACTGGATGAATTGACAACAAATTTGGACACAAGAAACCTAACAACTCAATGTATGTCCTTCACTCATAAAAACACTGAAAAACACAGCAGGAGGGACAAAAAGCCCAACCCCCATGTGGGCCACAGCAACGCGTGGCAGGGGACAGGTAGTATAATTATAATATCATATTATTATTATATTGCATTACATTATAATATTATAAATATTATATGTATACACAATATATTATATTATTAGAGTAGCACAGGAGACAAGATGGAACTGTTCCTTGGCCCCCCTCTCTTCACTCTGGCCCAGAGCAGCAGCTGGTGATGCGGGAAGGGGTCTCCAGCTGATGACATATCCAGGAGACAAGATGGAACTGTCGCCTGGCCTCCCCTCTCTTCACTCTTCGCAGAGCGACAGTTGGAGCTGGCATAAGCGGTGTCCCCCATGGTTCTCCCACTGAAACAAGGAGGAATCGCCTCCTATTTACAATAGGCTATTTTAAAGATACCCTGATTGTGTTCACAGTTATATCACAGTTGTAATTATACCAAAATCACCACTTTCTACCAACCAGTAAACTTAGTCATAAGATTTGAAAGGTTATCTACTTGTACAAGAGCAATACAAAATTAAATATTTATTCAAATAATAAGCTTAAGTTCGGGCTGCAATGTTGGCAAAGTAGATTTTAAACACATCACAAACGCGTGCACAAAAATGAATTTTGAGCAGAGAACAAAAATACTAAGCATTATACTAGATAGCTGATTTTAACAAAAAAAGGGTTTATAATCATCACTATACAAAATATAAAATGTATTAAACACTACCATCCACAGAAGTTTTTTTTTAATTGGTTATATTTAAAAATTATTTTGTGTAGTTAATTATATAGTGAATTGTAAATGATTATACAGGAACTTTCTTCTGGCTGGTAATACTTTGTTCTTCTATAGCACATCCAATCACATTGCAAAACTGAGCATCATCTTTCATACCATCAATAAAAGAAACAATTATTGATAATACAAGTAAATAATGTCTGATCTACAAAGAACATCATTAGTTTTCCTCCTTCAGCTTCAAAGTGCTTCCCATGCAAAGTCAGCACTTGCTTGCTGTAATGAATAGACAATGTCCAGGGTTGTAGTTGCTCATCAGAAAAGATACATTTTATAAATCAAAGATTGAATACAGACATGGAACTCTCTTTGCTACTGGGTAAAACCCACTGTGCATCATGTATCAAATTTATTGCCCTTCTGGAATTTTATTCAAGGCATCCAAAATTAGACCTAATGATAAATACACATATAGTGGAAAAGGACTCAAGCTACTATTTGAAACCGCTACCGGTAATGTTTGTGCTATGTGAAAGCACCTTTTAAAAAAAGAGCCAATGCGGCAAGAGATAAGTGTCTAAAGATTCAAAATGAATCAACAGTATTGGATAACAATATAATTTTCAACTCAGAAGCTGCCTCAAAATTAGGTGCATCTTCAGTTAATGTAACAGGAAAAAAGGCAATGGGTTTTATTTTATTAAACGTGCTCCATTCAAACTGACCTAAGGCCACCAGATTTGCAGACACAATGTGTTTCTTCTTCTCATTGTACAGTTCTTTAGGCTGTAAAATGATAAAGGAATAGATCTATTTAAAAAACAAAACAAAAAACAAAAAAAAGCTATTTCCTCTAGATTAAGACACCGCCCCAGGCGTTGGATTCACGTTCTGAGTGGCCACTTGTGGTGCAACCTCAATGATTCGAGGTTTGTCTATAATTCTGGCAGTGCGATTGCCCTTTTCTACAATCCCAATAATCCATGCTTGGTGACCTTCACCATATTTTGGAGACTTTATTTCAGCACAGAAACGTGCTGCTTGTTCACGTGGTAAACAGATAAGGAGACCTCCTGCAAGGAAGAAGAAATATGCATTAGTTTTCATTTATACTTCAGATTTTGACTTCTGCTTCTCTTCAAATCCTGAACCCATTATTCTGAAAGCATAGGCAATCAATAACTAGTTGAGCTGGAAATTATATACAGATTAACCCCACCCTTGCCAGTACTGATGAATGATGGCGACATTCAAAATACGTTTTATGTTACATTGGTATTGTACCCACTATATCAGGGCCCCCCAAACTAAGGCCCGGGGGCCGGATACGGCCCTCCAAGGTCATTTACCCGGCCCTCACTCAGGGTCAGCCTAAGTCTGAAGAGACTTGAAAGCACACAACAACAACAATTCTATCTCATCAGCCAAAAGCAGGTCCACACTTCCCATTGAAATACTAATAAGTTTATATTTGTTCTTCATTTTAATTATTATATTGTTTTTAAGTGCTTTTTGCACTAAAAATAAGATACGTGCAACATGCATAGGAATTCATTCATGCTATTTTCAAATTATAATCCGGCCCTCCAACAGTTTGAGGGACTGTGACCTGGCCCTCTGTTTAAAAAGTTTGAGGACCCCTGAACTATATATATATTTAACATATTTTATTATGGTATAAACACAAATCAGCAAACCATATTCCAAGTGTTACAAGCATAAATCCCAAGTAATTCAACAAATATTAATGGCATTATGCTAGTTTACACTGATGTAAATTATATTTTTCCCTCCCTTCTCAACCACAGAATATTTCTACTAATCTTGCAGATCCAGCCACTGGTGAAGTCTTTGAATTTTTTCTTTGATGTAATCGTTGGCTCCTCCATTTTTCACCCAGTTGAAGTAGACTTTCCATCTATTTATAATGTCATTTTGTTTGTCCGTTCTTGTTGCTTGCTTAGTCATAACTCTCGTAATATCTAACAACACTTGATCATACATATAATCATTCCAATTATTTAATGTCCATTTCAATTTGTCTTTCCATCCTCTAGCGATCACCACACGTGCTGCTCTTAATGTTATTTTAAATAACTCCTGGTAATTGATTGATATATTCGGGTGATCCAACACTCCCCATAGTAGCAAATCATTATTAATTTGAATTTTTATCTGCAATATCTCCTGATTTTTTGCTTGTATTATTTGCCAGAATTGTTTTATTTCAGAACACTCCCACCACATATGTGAATAGTACCTTTTTTCTTTATTACAGTGCCAACACTTTGAATCCATCCCTTTTACCATATAAGCCAGTTGTTCAGGGGTTCTATGCCATCTTAATACCATCTTTTTTTGCTAATTCATTATATTTTTGTTTTTATTTTATTCATGTTCCTGATTATTTCCTCTATTTCTTGTGTACTTAATGATTTAACCTCATTCCATTTGTTACGTATTGCTCTAATCATAAACTCCTTATGTTCTACCATTAAACTGTATATTTTTGCCACTGTTCCTTTACTTGTTTTTTCCTCTTGCATTTAGCAATTTATCTACCTTTAATTCTTCAGTGGGCTGTACAGCCTTTTTTTTCCTAACCTTTTCCCAAATCCTTCTTAATTTTAACCAATTCTCTTTTCTCCCCTTTTCCAACAACTCTGGTCAATTAATTATTTACCCTCCTTAATCCCTTTTCTTCTAAGTTATTATTTATTTATTATTAACTTTATTTGTACCCCGCTAACATCTCCCGAAGGACTCAATGCAGCTTACAAGGCCAAGGCCTCAATAAAACAACAATATAACAATATACATAAACCATAAAGCAAATCAAAACAATTAAAGCAATAACGGTAAACAGTAAAACAAGACACCATAACACAATAAAACTAAGGCCAGGTCAAGTGTAAATGGGTACAGATTAAAAGTGCTGAGTGTGACAGTTGAAATATAAGGATTTTGGGTAAGTGCAACGTGCTGACAATCTTAGGTCTCTAGTAAAGTGCTTCTGGGACGTGTTGCTGGAGTTTCCTATTCTGGAAAGGCGCACTGGAATAGCCAAGTCTTCAAGTTCTTCCTAAAGACTGCCAATATAGGAGCCTGTCTAATTTTCTTGGGGAGGGCGTTCCAGAGTCGGGGGGCTACCACAGAGAAGACCCTGTCCCTCGTCCCCACCAAATGCGCCTGCGACGCAGGTGGAATCGTGAGCAGGGCCTCTCCGGATGAACGAAAGGAGCGTGCGGGTTAATAAACGGAGATGCGATCACGCAGGTAGGCAGGTCCCAAACCGCGTAGGGCTTTGTAGGTGAGCACCTGCACCTTGAATTGGGACCGGAAAATGAACGGCAGCCAATGGAGCTCCTTAAACAGGAGGGTTGACCTCTCTCTGTAAGGAGCACCGGTTAACAATCTGGCCGCCTAACTGAAATTTCCGAGCCATTTTCAAGGGCAGCCCCACGTAGAGCACATTGCAGTAGTCCAATCTAGAGGTGACTAAGGCATGGACTACCCCGGCCAGATCAGCCTTTGCGAGGTATGGTCGCAGTTGGCGGACGAGTCTCAATTGTGCAAAAGCCCTCCCGGACACCGCCGACGCCTGAGCCTCAAGCGTAAGTGATAAATCCAAGAGGACTCCCAAACTACGGACCTGTGATTTCAGGGGGAGTGATACCCTGTCCAACACAGGTTGCCACCCTATACCCCGATCCGGTTTACGATCGACCAGGAGGACCTCTGTCTTGTCGGGATTGATCTTCAGCTTGTTCCTCCTCATCCAGATAGCCACAGCGTCCAAGCACTCGTCCAGCACTCGAGGGGCTTCCTTGGACTTAGGTGGAAATGAGTAGTAGAGTTGTGTGTCATCTGCATAGAGATGACACCTATCTCCAAAACTCCGGATGACCCCTCCCAGCGGTTTCATGTAGATGTTAAAAAGCATGGGAGATAAAATAGAGCCTTGCGGGACCCCCCCCCCCCCACCCAAGTTATTTGCTGACCTTTCAGGAAGTCCCATGCTCTTAATTGGAGTTTTTCTGGATATTTTATATGCCCATCGTTTTTGCCATTTTAGCCAGCAATCGAATGCTACCTTTCTCGGTCCTGTTAGTTTTTCCTTTATTTTGTTAATATCTCTGGTGTATAATCCATATTTTTCCCATCCTAGATTTCATTCTCTACTTTTATCCATTTATCGTCTCCCTTTAAACTTATTTCTAATAATGCTCTTAATTGGAAAGCCTCATAATAATATTGTACATTTGGAAAACCACATCCAAGTATTCTCTTTGGGGTATATTGAATATTTTTCATTATTCTATTGTTTTGTATCCACTATATATCAGTAAGCACTTTGGTGCCATACATTTCTACTCACTTCCTATTTGGTAGCATAATAGTTACTAGACACAGTTCACCATCAATTTGTTTCCTGTTACCAATCTTTAAGGAGCTTAATTTTTACTTCATTTGGTAAGGGTTACAAAACAAAATGTCAGAACTCCTGGTTCCTTCTAACTTTTCGATTCTATCCTAGAAATGCATGGCTAATGATCTCCATGTAGATCACCTGTGTAATTATTTTACTTTCCATTACACACATATTTTGTATAATATCCACCCACTGTACAAGCACATGGATTGCAACACTGAGTTCCAAAGCAGAACTTGCAACCGCCCTCCAGCAGTAGCAGCTAACTGTGCCATCTGGGGAAAGATCGCCCTCTACTGAATCTCTAAACAACATGGAGAGATTGTCATGCTGGCCATACAGAAAAATATAACAAATTCCAACATACAAAATACATTGTGATACTTTTATTAGATTCTGGAGACTACGGTTCAAATTGGTGCTCAGTTATAGAAACCCAGTGGATAACCTTAGGCAACTCACAAAGGCAAATCCCTCTAAATAAATCTTGCCAAGAAAACCTCATGATAGGGTCACTTTAGGGTTGCTGTAAGTTGGAAATGACTTGAAAACACGCAACAGTTAATCTCTATTAGGCCAAATAAAAAGTGTAAAATGCACCTCATTAGATCTTGACAGCACACTCACCTGCTTATACAAGTGAGATGCACCAGGATCCCAACTGTTCTACTACATCACATTTACCACCTTTGCCTGATGAAGAAGCCAATTGTTTTGAAAGCTAGCATGGTGTACTCTGTACCTTGTGGTTGGTAAGACACCTGGCTACCACCGACACCTGGGGTTCCAGGGTCAGCAATGAGCTCAGGATTAGCCCCAGACTGTGGAACTGTGTCTTCAGGGGGAGTACGAACCCATCCTTACGCTGCTACATGATCTATACACCTTATTGATTAGCCTATTTTCTAACCTGTTTGCACACCAGCCCGCCCTCCCACAACAAGACTTGGAAATATGTCCTTGGTTGTTGCTTATGATGTTTTATTGCTATTATTAATATTATTATTATTAATATTAATATTATTATTATTATTATGTTGTTTTATATTATTGTTATATTTTATATGCTATGTTTTAACTCTGTGTGATTGGGCTTGGCCCCATGTAAGCTGCCCTGAGTCCCTTCGGGGAGATGGAGGCGAGGTATAATAATAATAATAATAATAATTATTATTATTATTATTATTTTGGCCAGACTTGTCTCTTATTTTACGGAAACTGAGTCTTCCAGAAGAAAACATCACAACCCTTTCTATTTAGCTATAAATGATTTCCAGCCTCTCCAGCTGAAATACAAACCATTATAAAAATACTGCAACACCATTCAATTGTATACATCAAAGTTTTCACAAAATGCTTCAAAATACTGTTCAAAATACAGTACATACTGGACATCAGCTTGATTTAGCAATCAGTTATTTGCCTGGCCAACTACACTCCATTAACAAACTTGTCAGCAGTTCTTAAGAGGTTTCTTACTACATGTGTAAAGTGCTGTGACATTCTTAAAAGGAAAGATGTACCTGAAGTTTCAGGACAGGTCCCGTGCATAAGGCCAAACATATTGCCACATGCCTTGCTAACTGCAGCCATTTTGGCGAGGACAGGAAGGTTATGTATAACGAAGGACACTTCATTGCGCTGCTGCTTAGCGAGATTTTGTGCATGTCCCAGGATTCCAAAGCCTGTGATGTCTGTGGCGGCGTGAGCATTAAATGTGTGCATCAGTCCTGCAGCTTGAAATAAAAGACAAACAGTTGTGCAATCAATCAATCAATCAATCAATAAAATCACCCTGTCAGGAGCTGAAACAGTTTAAATCTATGTACATATAGTTAAAATAAAAGCAGATTAAACTCTGGACAAAGAGTAACAACGTAACATTTCGTAAAATCTTCAGGAAAGTCCCACCTGTTGAGATTAAGGAAAAAATTCCCCTACAAAAGAGGAGCTAATGAATAAAAATTAAATTAGGAACTGAGTTAGGAATTTGTCAAGAAACTGGGCAACTTACATTCATTTTTAATGAAACAACTATGGTGTCAACCAGGCATCTTCAGAATATCAAGACTCTGAAAAAGTGGGTTTGTATCCATAAAAGCTCCAGCAAAAATTTTAAAAGCAGTCTTAAAGGTGAGGCCATTTTTTATTTGGTCTCCCTTCTTTTCTTGGTAACAGAAAAGCTTTGGACTGGGACTCTGGGCACTGAATTGGACTTGGATGTGGCTAGATTGTTAATAATGTTTATAATATTTGGAATTGATATTTTTATAATTTAATGTTTTAATTAATGTTTGATTTATGTTATATTTGTTTGTATGTGTTAGCATCAAATTGTTGCCGGTTGTAAGCCACCCTTAGTCTGCCTCCCCCACCCCCCCGGCCGGGGTTGAGGATGGGGTACAAATGTTTGAACTAAATAAATAAAAATTACGAGAGATCAACACAGCTGCTTTTGAAGACTACCACAATAGAAAATTATGAAATCCATTCATATTAAAATATATAAAGAGCTGGGAACAGATCAAATGTAAGGGATGGCAAAATCCCAAGTGCCTCTTACTGAGTACTACAAAATGAATGATGACATGGAGACTGGGATGCAGAACAATGGTTTCAAACTACAAGAAAGGAGATTCCATCTAAACATGAGGAAGAACTTCCTGACTGTGAGAGCCCTTCAGCAGTGGAACTCTGCCCCGGAGTGTGGTGGAGGCTCCTTCTTTGGAGGTTTTTAAACAGAGGCTAGATGGCCATCTGCCAGGAGTGCTTTGAATACAATGTTCCTGCTTCTTGGCAGGGGTTGGACCGGATGGCCCATGAGGTCTCTTCCAACTCTATGATTCTATGAAAGAAGTCAAAATATTTCTACCAGACCAACAACAAAAGACTGTTTAAGTCATCTTTTAAAAACTTTAAAATTATGCTTTAGAATTTGAATATTTCTTTATAGGGACACTTATGGAACTTTGAGAAGCATCCAATTAAATGTATAGCATCATTTAAAAAGCTATTTGGACATCTAAAACAACACAAAATGGAAGAAATTTTACCTGTAGATTGGGGGGAAAAACTTGTTCTGGTCTTTCAATAAACACAGGACAACACTACACTGATTCCAGGACAGGGGAAGGGGCTACACCAGAGCTTTCCAAACATTTCATGTTGATGATATACTTTACAGAGGTGCATCATTTTGTGACACAGTAATTCAGTTTTACTAGCAAACTGGAGGTTAAACCTTCCTTTGTAAGAGATATGGATATATATATAAACTATAATAATGAAATGTATGGAGGCACATACAAAGCTTTCATTTATGTTTTTTAAAAAAAATATATAACATAAATTTCCAAGATTTTTGTCATTTATCAGTAAGTATGTGCAAGAATTTTAAAAATTCTGTGTTCACATGACACGCTTACATACTGCAAACAAAACACTTAAACATGTTGCAACATAGTTTGGAAAGCTGTGGTCTATACTGTTCCCAAAATTTTACAAATCCAAGCTATTCTAAAGCCCAATCAAGCTCCGCCTGGCCCCACCCCCTTTTCTTCTCCTTTCCCTTTTCTCATTCTATGTTGCGGTTTTTAGTTCATAAGCCTGTAGGCAAGGGTTCTCTTTTACTATGTAAATTGGTTGAGCAGATTATTTTTTTGATTGAGCAACATAAAAACACACCATGATGATATGACCTTTAAAGTCCTATATGGATTGGATCTGGGTTACAATCTGCCCTGGACACTTAGGGTCCTCTGGGGAATATTTACTTCAACCAGCCAGAACCTGACTGGCAAGTTAAGGAACTTTTCATCAGCTGTCAACATTTAAGACATAGTTAAAGACTTATCTCTTCCAACAGGCTTATCCTGTAAACTTTAAACCATGAATATAAATAATGTTACGGCATGAATTATTTTAATGTGTTCAAATCTTAGGTGCATCCCTTTTATTATATGTGTTTTAGTGGTATATGTATTTTAACTATATATTTTGACATGTTGTACCCCTTCTTAAGGAGAGGCGCATAACAAAGAATACTACTTTAAAATATTCAATATTTTTGAAAATATTCAAAAATACCAATATTTTTCAGACTCAAATTTTTAAATTTAAGTCTGAAATATAAGTATAATGCCAGTATATTAAACCTATGTATGTTTTATTCAATATACTTAAAACACTACTTTAATGCAACAATGTAGCCAATGACTTCACAACCTCTGAAGATGCTTGCCATAGATGCAGGCGAAACGTCAGGAGAGAATGCCTCTATTGTGGGGACATGGCCATATAGCCCCCAAAACCCTACAACAACCCAGTGATTCTGGCCATGAAAGCCTTCGACAATACAGTGCAGCCATTTATCTATATAAATAAAAATGTAATGTTTGTTTGTGGGGTTAACAGAACTCAAAAACCACTGGGGGAATTGACACCAAATTTGGACACAATACACCTTAACAACCCAATGTATGTCCTTCACTCATAAAAACACTGAAAAACACAGCAGAAGGGACTTAAAAAGCCTCAAAAAGCTAAACAACAATACAGAAAAAGGGAAGAAAGAGGGAGGGAAGGGGAAGAAAAAAAAGGAAAGAAAGAAAAGAAAGAGGGAGGGAAAGAAAGAAGGAAGGAAAGGGATAAGGAAGCATGGAAGCTAAGAGAGAAGGAAGGAAGGAAAGAAGTAGAGAAGGAAGAAAGGAGAGAAAGAGGGAGGGAAAGAAAAAGGGAGAAGGAAGGAAAGTTAGAGAAGGAAGGAAGGAGAGAAGGAAAGAAAAAAGGGAAAGAAGGAAGGAAAGAGGGAGCGAAGGAAGGGGAGAAGTAGAGAAAGAGGGAGGGAAGGAAAGAAGGAAAGAGAGAAGGAAGAAAAGAGAGACAGAAGAGAAAAAAAAGGGGGAAGGAAGGAAAGAGATAGAGAAGGATGGAAGAAGAGAAGGAAAGACAGGAAGGAAGGAAGGAGGATGCGACAGAAGGAGGGAAAGAAGGAGTGAAAGAGGAAAAGTTGGCCACAGCAGCGCGTGGTGGGTACAGCTAGTTTCCCAATAAAATCCAAGGACCAAGATTCAAACCATGCTCAGCCACAAAAATCACTAAGTGACCCTGGGCAAGTCACATACTCTCATACTCCAGAAAGCCCTGTGATAGCTTTGCCTTAGGGTCATCCCAGATCCATCGGAAACTATTTGAAGGCACACAACACCAAACAAATATTTCTACTTCTTGTACCTGTTCTGTTGAGTCTTGCCATGTTCATCATTGCTTCTTGATATGCTAGTTCTACATCTTCTTGTGTTACAACCAACTTAATTTTATTCCATTTTTCTGGCTAATATATAGAAAAAAGATATGAAGATAAAAATATTAATTTGTCCACAAAATCCAGAAACATGAACACTAGGTTGCAGTAATGTGACTTACATAAAATAACTAGAAAATGCAGGAAACAATTAAAGGTTTAACTACATTGCAAGGGAATAGCTGGCCCTTGAACTGTCATCCAACTCTGTGATTCTAATCCAACATATTTCCCAGGGAACATTCAGAGAAGAACAGAAGAAAAGTATGACAACAACTGCCCTCTCTTCTTGCTGCTCTGCAGCAGCTGGCATTGTGTACCATACCCATCCTGAGCATGAAGCATCCTAATAACGCATAATTTAAAAAATACACCGTTTTATGTTTTAATTTTTTTTAAGGTATACTCTCTCTAAACATGGATGGACCATAAATTTGTATAATGCCCTTATGATACCAGTAGATTTTTTTACTTTCTCTCTTCTAATGCCATCTGGAAAAGAATTCACAATTTCTATATCCGTACAACATCAGACACGTATCGAGCTATCCCGCACACTACAAAGATTTCTTTCTTGATTAATCACCATCAATTCAGACTCCAGTGAATATCCAAAGCAGAGATTTGTTAGGCCCAAAGTGCATCATATTATACATGAACTGCACCTGAAATCACCCATTCAATAAGCTTGAAGCAATCTAAAGCTTTTCATAGTTTACTTGGGTTTTCACCATAAGAAATGGTTTCAATGTCATGTTTTTTACTCAGGAATAAGACAAACTGAATCCATTAAAATTTACTGCCAGATTAAAATATTTACTAATTTCAAAAAGATTTATATTGTGTATTATCCATGTGAAAACTAAAAAAGAGCAGCTAACATTGTCACTACTTCCACAATCTCCAAAAAAACTTTTGAGTGGAAGATGGGAAGGAAATCAACAAAAATGGAGTCCTTTGACGTGCAGAAGCAGATGTACCTCAAAAAAGGCAAAGCCACTGGTAGGAATGATTCATATTGTTTAAAACTATTTTCCCAAGAAATGTGCATATTATTGTAATTTAAGAACTTTAAAAAAAGATTTATGTATATAATATACATTCTCTCCACAGAAACATCATGTAAAAACACAGGTAGAGATATGTTTGTTTTTACAATGAAAAACTTCAGTATTGCCATATGTAAACCTATTTTAGATTATTTAAATAGCCAGATAATGGATTTGTGAACCTGGGACAGAAGTCCAGCTAATGTTACAAAATTGTAGGCAGTTAGTAAATTTGGTTTTAGGTAATTTTGATTCACTGGGTTAAATACTAATTAAGCTTAGGTGAATTTTCAAAATCAATACAGCTACATGGACAGCGAGACACCCAACAATTCTCAAATATTTTATTTCAACTACACTTAAACCAATTTATACTTACAATATCTAGCCACTGGTGAACTGCTACAGCAACTTGTGTTCCCAAGGGTTTAGTTAACACAAGCACATCTCCTGGTACTGCATTATCTGGCCTGCAAAAAAGACACCCACATTTTTGTTTAAGGCACACATTAAGTAATAATTTTAACTGTATTGTTTTTGTTTTAAATTGTAAGTCACTTTTAAGTCCATTTTTTGGGGGGAAACTAAGGATCTAAATAAATGTAACAATCATTCCGCAGCCATCATTCCATGGAGCATATTCAGGAAAAGAGGTTACACTTTAACAAAATAAAAACAAATAGTTTTCAAAGTATCCTGTGAAATGCATTCATTTAGAACAGTGGTTCTCAACCTGTGGGTCCCCAGATGTTTTGACCTTCGACTCCCAGAAATCCTAACAGCTAGTAAATTGCCTGGGATTTCTGGGAGTTGTAGGCCAAAACACCTGGGGACACACAGGTTGAGAACCACTGATTTAGAGAGACATTTACTCATTTGTGTCTGTTATCTTTTCTTTCTCCCAGCCTTGCATATAAAAAGGAAACTGCACTCAATTCAAAATATGTATCTTGTATACAGGATGCTTAAGATATTACATTGTTTGTTCTTTAACCTCCAGTTTAAATTCAAGGAGTTACTGATGACACTTTAAGCCCTAAATATGTTGGGATCTGTGGTGTTAATACTTGAAGGACCATCTCTCTTTGTAAACACACATGCTATACATCTAAAACCTGCAGTCATCTGGGTCCAAATGAACAATACACAAACATAGGAAAGGCCTTTCTCTGTTGCAAAACGTAATTCCCATGGATGGTCATATGCTACCAATGGTACCATTATTGGAACCAAGCCAAAATCACACAATTTTTCTAAAGTCTAAAGAATTTACCTTCAATCTGTAGAAGCCTGTTGTTTAAAACTGTTTAATTGGTTACTATAATACTGTACACTGCCCCAAGACCACCGGGATTGTGGCGCAGCAGGCTGAGTGTCAGCTGCATTAAGATCACTCTGACCAAAAGTCATGAGTTTGAAGCCAGCCCGGGTTGGAGTGGGTTTCCAACCAATTGTGTGTAGCCTGTTGTCGACCTTTGCAACCCGAAAGACAGTTGCATCTGTCAAGTAGGAAAATAGGTACCACCTTAAAGTGTGGGGAGGCTAAATTAACTGATTTATGAGGCCATAAAGAAGACTCCAGCAAAGCATTCCAGCGGGGAAGCATGCGGGGAATGCGGAAGTGCTTCATCAGCGTCGCAGATGGACGATGAAAGCGACAGCTCCCGGCGGCCAGAAAAAGTTACATAGCCTCTGTCTATGTCTATATGTCAAAATTGGCATTGAATGTTTGCCATATATATGTACACTGTAATCCGCCCTGAGTCCCCTGCAGGGTGAGAAGGGCAGAATATAAAAGCTGTAAATAAATAAATAAATACATAATTGTGGATATCAGAACAATCTTAAAAAAAAATTTTAAAACTCTGATAGCCAATTACTGAAATTATAGTCAAATTTACAGCCACATGGTACCCCCAAGATTGGATGGAATTCCTTTGTAATTTCCATTAATTAGCAACAATCATATCCTCTCAGCATTTATTACGGGTTCTTCTCAGCATTCAACTCTACAATTTATTAACAAGCTTACCATTTAAAAAAAATCCCAGAAGCTTGTTTTGTTCTGCAGTCTCTCTCTTCAAATAAAGAAATTGGCTCCTGTTTTATGTTTTTGAAGCAACCATCCTTAGGACAGTGATAAATAAGCCCCATAGATGAGTGGGGTTTGCTTCCTCCTCAGCATCATAAGATTGTATAATCCAATTGAGACAACACCCACACTTCCATGCAAAAAGCAAGCACCTAATGTCCCCATAACTGACATTACTGGAAAAAAAACCTCAGTTCTCATAGCAACTATTCCATCTTTTTAGCTATTCTTGCATTGGATGATACCTGCCACTCACATTATAAACTCATTAGGTTGACAAACAGTTGTAGCTACCCCTCCTAAAACAATCCATGGGTTTAACACTGTTTGACCACCAGTCACTGATGTTCCTGCTTCTTCTGCAGCATCTTTGAATCCTTGGATAATTAAAGGCATTATTTTGTCCCTTTCCTATAGATGAAAACAAATAGGAATAAAAATGAGTGAATTAATGAAAGATCCATACTAACAAAATTTGTTTCCTTAGTATTCTTTAAAGAACTTACCCTGTCTGTCATTTTATTACTTATTCCAAGAAGCATCAACATATTGTCACATTCAGTGACCCCCATAGCATAAAGATCACTAAGAACATTGGCACAGGCTATGCGTCCCTAAAAGAGAACATAAAAAAATGAGTTCTGTGCTTCCAGGCACCACCCAAGCATATACAACTCTGGCATGTAATATAAGCAACAACAAAGAAGGCGGTAGGAGCTCTCAATGGAAATGTTGAGCATAGTGTCTAGATCTAGGGAAGTAATGCTACCCCTCTATTCCACCTTGGTTAGACCACACCTGGAATACTGTGTCCAATTCTGGGCACCACAATTCAAGAGAGATATTGACAAGCTGGAATGTGTCCAGAGGAGGGCGACTAAAATGATCAAGGGTCTGGAGAACAAGCCCTATGAGGAGCGGCTTAAGGAGCTGGGCATGTTTAGCCTGAAGAAGAGAAGGCTGAGAGGGGATATGATAGCCATGTATAAATATGTGTGAGGAAGCCACAGGGAGGAGGGAGCAAGCTTGTTTTCTGCTTCCTTGGAGACTAGAACGCGGAACAATGGCTTCAAACTATAAGAGAGGAGATTCCATCTCAACATGACAAAGAACTTCCTGACTGTGAGAGCTGTTCAACAGTGGAACTCTCTGCTCTGGAGTGTGGTGGAGGCTCCTTCTTTGGAAGCTTTTAAACAGAGGCTGGATGGCCATCTGTCGGGGGTGATTTGAATGCAATATTCCTGCTTCTTGGCAGGGGGTTGGACTGGATGGCCCATGAGGTCTCTTCCAACTCTATAATTCTATGTTAGTAATGGAGCCAAGTGTCAACATTTGAATTGTGGACCATGACTCAGTGAGGGTTTGAGTATTTGCTCAGCTATAGAAATCTGCAGGCTGACTTTGACCGAGTCACACACTCTCAGCCTTAGAGGAAGGCAATGGTGAACCACCTCTGAATAAATTTGGAAGGGAAAAAGTGACAGGATTGCTATTAAGGAAACACTGCCTTTAGGGCACTCAACAACAATGAAGAAAAAGACAGGCTTGTTCTTAATTTCTTTTATAGGCTATAGAACTTTGCCAGAAGAAACCAGGCTGTCCCACTTCTTGCTCAACTTCTGCTAGCAGGTAAATATTCTCTTTTATTTGAATGAGTATTTGGTGATTAAGTGGCTATGTGAAAAATCTTTATGTTGCATTCTTTTAAAAATTCTTATAATGGTTTTAAATAATATTATACCGTTATAAAATATTATTTTTTAATATGGTATTATTATTATTAAACTTTATTTGTACCCCGCTAGCATCTCCCGAAGGACTCGATGCGGCTTACAAAGGCCAAGGCCTCAATACAGAACACAAACTTTACAATTAATTTTTTATTCATGTAGTATTCTTTAAAACTTACATGTGGGCTGCCTTGGATCTTATGCGGAAAAAGGCAGGACAAGTTAAATAAATAAATCATAATTATAGTACTCTATACTCATTGATATGAATAAGTTTGGGCATCACTGAATTTATCATTGAAGGAAAGTATCCATTTAGTTAAGAGGACAAAAAATTATCTGGATTTAGTAGATGGCTAACAAAAGAAATCTAAGAATGACCTAGTTCAAGATTTGATCCCTGACTAACTGCAAAAAAAAACCTGTTGGTACTTCTAAATCAGGACCAGCAGTAACAATTATAACAGAAGCTCTACAAACAAATGGCAACCACTAAAAGCAACCACCCACTTGCACATCCTTCTACCACAATCACAGATTCTTTTATGAAAGAACATGACAAATCTATTTACGCAGCTTACCATCATATAAGGATCATCCACAATAGGATAAATATAATCTGTAGTCTGGACCAAAGATAGGCCTCCATGTCTCAAAGGAATAACACAAGTATCCATTCCAATTCCTGCAAAGACAGGACTTTGTTACTCAATAATGATAGCTTCTTTGATATCCCCAAAAGTTGATTCTATCCTTGCCCCCTTCCCTTCCCCACAAATAGTATAAAATCCCAAAGAATTACCAAGTCTAAACACAACATTCATTTATATTTCATAAACACCCTATACACAATATTATTAATTGTTTTGTGCATGCAACAGTTTGTGTACAATGAACCATCAGAAAGCAAAGGCATCACTATCTGATTTGGGAGTGTTTTGGAATTCTGAATAAAGGATGCTCAACCTGTACTTCCTAAACTCAACAAAAATAACACACACCACATGAAACTGAAGGCTACTGAGGCAACATCTGCATTGCCATATAAAATCCAGATTATCTGATTTGAACTGAATTATATGGCAGTGTAGACTAATATAATCCAGTTCAAAGCAGGTAATCTGGATTATCTCCTTTGATAGTCTGTATTATATAGTAGTGTAGAGACAGCAACATCTTCATAGAAACTTTTCTGAGAAAGCTGAACTGTCTTACATGGATACATAATATAAATACTGTGGTGCTTCCTTAACTTCCAGAGGTGTTGAAAGTACATTTCCTACTTTGTACCCAAATAGTTTTTATCCATGATTATCAGGATATACAAGGTCAACTGTAGCAATATGAATTTCTTGCATCCTTAATTACAAAAATTGATTAGCATGAGCCTTTTTGAGGAAATGGAGGACAGCACATTGGTTCCCTGCCTGTCTTGTAAAGATAACTTGGCTAGAAGACCCTTTGCCACATTCAACAGACCCAGGCATGTAGCCGGGGGAGGGGGGGGGGGCTTGAGGGGCTTCAGCCCCCCCCCCCAAATTCTCATGGTAGTCCGCGAGAAGGCCTTAATGGTACATTATTTAAACTGTTATGTTTATTCATATAATGATCTGATCACCATGTTCAGTGTATCCCATATGCATGGGGGTATTGGGGTAACGATACAAAAGGTTTGTTAGGGCAGACCCTCTTTCACTCAGACTCAGCCCCCCCCCCCCCAAAAAATCAAAATCCTGGCTATACCCATATACAAACACATCTCTCTAATTTTAAGAATCAACTGAAATCCCTTGGAGAACAGGGTTGGGTCATAAGACCTACAGTCTCTGATCAACATATTCCTCCTCACTCTTCATCCAAGCGTAGAGCTGCTTATAACAAGTCCTCAGTTAATCTCTCCAAAACCAGATTAATTGAAAACAATGCCAAAAGGTTTACTTAGATCACTCTCTGGGCTCAGGGAGTTTACCTTTGAAAAGTTCCCTGTTCATCTTTGGAAAATATCCAGAAAAGATGTTCTTAAGTCAATGAGCTAGAGGTATGGACTCTTGTTGCTTCTATGATATTTTGCTGCAATCTTAACCATAAAGCCTCACAGCAGCTTACAAAAACAACTGAATAAATCTGACACACAATCACAATATAGTGGATACATGTGAAGAAGCACACATATAAGTACTTCTGAACCTGTCAAGAAGATGCTGCTAAATGCTTGGAGGAAAATACTATAGTAACAATTAGCCCTAGCTGTTCAGTTCACAAGCAGAGTGATTCAACTGGAATAAAATTAATTAATCCCAAGGAAATGATATACATTTTGCATTCAGGAGATCCCATAGATGTCTGCATCAACTTCAATTTCTCCAATATTTTGGAAAATGTAGTCACTTGTGGAAGTATGTATGATTAAAGAAGCAACAACAGAAGCCCAAAGAAGTAATAATAAGATGACCAGATAAAATCCAGGAACAGAAACGATTCTGCTGAATTTAAAGCTGACGGGCTTAAATTTCTGGTTTTATAGATACAGAAGTGTACACACAATTATAAAAAATGACCGAAAGATACTGGATATTCCAGGAAAGCTAAAGAACACCTAAATTGTTATCCTACACTTTATGAATAAGATGCAGTACCCATTCTATGCAGACTATAATCCAGGCAATTGCAAAAATTTCTGTGGAATGGTCCAGAAATTTAAAAAAATGTATACTGAACCAAATTGTAGCCAATTACTTCAACCCGGTGGACTGGTCTAGCAAAAGTCACTGGATGTCACCACACCACGAATTAAATCAAGAAATAGTTTTCTAAGATCTACAGAGACACTCATTGGAACACCTCAGCAAGCGAGAGTCCAAAAGTGGCAGGCTCAAACCCAGTACCTCAATCAATGGCTGATATCAAATGAGAGACTCCCCCCTGGGCACACAGAAGACTGGGCGACTTGGAATGCGCTGAACAGACTGCGCTCCGGTACCACGAGATGCAGAGCAAACCTTAAGAAATGGGGCTACAAAGTGGAATCCACGACATGTGAGTGTGGAGAAGAGCAAACTACAGACCACCTGCTGCAACGCAACCTGAGCCCTGCTATATGCACAATGGAGAACCTTCACTCAGAATTGATATTTAGCTACTAGCCCAAACTGACCAGGCATTTTTCTGACAGCTAAACTAACTACCTTATCAAAACTCTTTGCTTCATGTAGATAACATGTCAATATGAGATGGAATTGCTTTTTTATCACTGTCCCTGACATACTAAGGATATTACAGTGGATTCTTAAAAAACAGCACAGTGGCAAGGAGTATTAAAAAGCCTATATATTATTTTGGTAGCAAAACATGTTTCAGTTGGTTGAACCATAACTTTAGATCTTCTTCTCTAACAGCAAAATAATATACCACTATTAAAGATCTTATACTTACCCAATCTTGGCATGACAGCTCCCAGAAACTGTTCATCTTCTTGGAAGTGATTTTCTTGTAGAGATTCAAGCAATTTCTGCAAAACGTCCTGGGGCACTTTACAACCAGTGCCTTTAAGTTCTGTAAATCGGGTGAGCCGAAAGCTCTTGTCGAGTTCATAGCTTTCTGGATTAAATGACTCCCGAACAGACATGATGCTCATAAAATTAAGTATCAGCAGCTTTTCGTCTTCTTTTAGAAATGCAGTGGTGTGTTTTCCGGACACTTATCCTAAGATTTTTTAAATAAAAGAACATTATAATAATCCTGAATTAGCTCAAAAGTACTGCAAACCACAGTATTAAATAAAACTGCCTGTTGTTTGCCATAGATAAGGTATTTTCCATATCTTCTATACAAAAATATCTGAATAGAAATAACCATGCTTGGTGAAAGAAAACTATTTTCACCAAGTTCCTCTTAGTCTCTACATCTGAATATAGGGAATATTCATATTTGAACATAAATCCCTAATACAAGCAATTTAAAAAAGTTTTTTTTGTCGTGTCAGGAGCGACTTGAGAAACTGCAAGTCGCTTCTGGTGTGAGAGAATTGGCCGTCTGCAAGGACGTTGCCCAGGGGACGCCCGGATGATTTTTTTGATGTTTTTATCATCCTTGTGGGAGGCTTCTCTCATGTCCCCGCATGAGGAGCTGGAGCTGATAGAGGGAGCTCATCCGCCTCTCCCCGGATTCGAACCTGAGACCTGTCGGTCTTCAGTCCTGCCGGCACAGGGGTTTAACCCACTGCGCCACTGCACATTGACATGTGCCCTTTCCTTCTACATCTTATTTTATTTCTCTGCTGTCTTTATAGTTTTCAAGCCTAATGAGAAGGGATATCTAGTGTGAATTTTCTTAACATGTGAGGCAGTCTAAGATAGGCAGGTTGGTTGGTCTGTTGTAAATAAATAAATGAATATAGTAAAATCTTCTGAACAGGGGCACAGACAGCAAAACAAACATCTCAGTATATAGAGGGGGGGGGGGAGAGAGCTGGAATTATACATAAAATGTACTGACTTACAAACAAATTTAACTTAAGAACAAACCTATAGAACCGATCTTGTTTGTAACTTGGGGACTATCTATATAACATTTTACTAACAGAAAATAATCTGGGTAATAAAATGTTTACTTCATTCTTAAAGATGAATTGTATATTTCTTTCAAGGAAAATGATCCAGTCTACTTAAGAATATTTCTGTTGGTTACTAGAATGTCTTTCTGCACACTACTGGATTTACAGTGCACCTCCTGAAGGGGTGTGTCTGAGGACGTGGGCGATCCTGTAAATGTCTGCAACTTCACTGGGCAATCCTGTATGCAAGATAGTTACAATTGAAATGAATGCTAAACTTCTGCAGGACTATACAATATTTAATGGGAAATCAACATCTAACTTTAACCATCAATCAAATTACTTATTTTTGAAAGGAATTTTTCTGTCAGTACCTCAGACCGGTGTGCCACTTTTTTACAAATCTTCTAATGTCATTGACAGGACAAGCTGAACTAGTGCCCCATGGAGAACCATTGGCCAGGCAGCAAAAAGGCCTATGGCACCTTCTCATATCATCATGTAAACGATGCCAAACCCTGCTTCTTGGCTGTGCTTTGGGGACAGCCAAACGTGGGCTGGCCTTCTTTCTTTCTTGAGTCGAAGAGCACTGAAAAGAAGCAGAAATACCAGAGAGAGCTATTTCAGCAAAGGAGAGCAAGGCATTGTAATGCTAGAACGCGATTTTTGTTCCTGAGCTATAAATGTCATTTCCTAATTGGTTCTATCATTTCAAAAACATGGACAAAGTTTATTAATCTGCAAAAACTTTGTTTGGGCAAGACATCCCGCAGAACATTGTGCTATAGTTTTTCAATGAGTATCTCATTGAGTCTCAACCAATTCAACATAGTTTGAGGCTGCCCCAAAAACGAATTTTCTGGAGTAGAACTACTACTTTTAAAGTAAGTACTGCACAATTAAAGAGGAAACGTTTTCAAAACAGAAACAGATTTTTTTTCAAATTTTGTTACATAACGTAATCATTGGCAGCTTTGGGAAGCATTTCTGATTTCTTTCTTAACTCCGAGGACATGAAAAGTAGTCCATAAAGTGTGGGATTGTTTGGGTGTTTCTGCTTGCAAATTGAAACCATAATTGTCACCCTCTCCTATAGAGACCCCCTTCTACAGCTGTATAAAATCCACGTTATTTGCATTAAACTGGACTATATGGCAGTGTAGATTCAGATAATCCAGCTCAATGCAGGGAATGTGGATTATTATTATTCATGTCAGGAGCGACTTGAGAAACTGCAAGTCGCTTCTAGTGTGAGAGAACTGGCCATCTGCAAGGACGTTGCCCAGGGAACGCCCGGATGTTTCAATGTTTTATTTATTTATTTGCTTCATTTTTATACCGCATTTTTCAGCCCTTAACAGGCGACTCAATGCGGTTTACAGTGCAATTAAAACATAATACAACAACAGGATCAACACATAGATCCACAACAGTTAACAATCAGACAAGACAAATCAACAAAACAACATATATAACGCCTCAGTTGAAATCAGATCCGTTCTCATAGTCCTTGTGCCGTTCCTATGTTCCATTTACCGTCTTCCTTGATTGGTTGCATTGCTTAGCCGAACGCTTGTTCATAAAGCCAGGTCTTAACCATTCTCCGAAACGTCAGCAACGAAGGTGCCTGTCTGATGTCTGTCGGCAAGGCATTCCATAGCCGAGGGGCCACCACTGAGAAGGCCCTGTCTCTCGTCCCCGCCAAACGCGCCTGTGACGCAGGCGGGATCGAGAGCAGGGCCTCCCCAGACGATCTTAATGTTCTAGTCGGTTCATAGGTGGAGATGCGTTCGGAGAGGTAAGCAGGGCCAGAACCGTTTAGGGCTTTATAGGCTAAAGCCAGCACCTTGAATTGTGCCCGGTAGCGGATTGGCAGCCAGTGGAGCTGGTCAGCAGAGGAGTGGTATGCTCCCTGAGTGCCGCTCCCGTTAGCAACCTGGCTGCCGAGCGCTGGACCATCTGAAGCTTCCGGGCCAGTCTTCAAGGGCAACCCCACGTAGAGCGCGTTGCAGTAATCAATCCGGGATGTAACCAGAGCGTGGACTACCGTGGCCAAATCAGACTTCCCAAGGTACGGGCGCATCCTTGTGGGGGGCTTCTCTCATGTCCCCACATGGGGAGCTGGAGCTGATAGAGGGAGCTCATCTGTGCTCTCTCAGGATTTGAACCTGCGACCCGTCATTCTTTAGTCCAGCTGACACAAGGGTTTAATCCACTGCACCACCAGGGGCTTCTATATAATGAGGATTATCTGCCTTGATATTCTGGATTATATGGCAGTGTAAAAGGGCCCCCACGTTAGACCGACACGCCTATCTATGGCCCCTTCTGCACTGCCATATAAAATCCAGATTATCTGATTTGAACTGGATTATATAGCAGTGTAAAGTCATATAATCCAGTTCAAAATAGTGAATGGGGATTATCTATTTTGATAATTTGAATTATATGGCAAGGGAAGGGGCCTTTGGTTGAAGTAGGTACAACCATATTTGCGGGGGAGTGGGGACACAAAACGAGGCAAAACTGGGAAGGCTTTTTTCTTTAAAGGGCCCTTCCACACAGCAATATAAACCAGAATATAAGACAGATAATCCATAATATCTGCTTTGAACTGGGTTGTCTGAGTCCACACTGCCATTTAATCCAGTTCAATGAGGATTTTATGCAGGTACTAGCGGTCCCCTGCCATGCGTTGCTGTGGCCCAGTCTGGTGATCTGGAAAATAAAGTAATGAGAAAGTGTTGGTTTCTAATATATGTAATGTCTTTATGCTTGTGGGTAAACAGTATTTCTTGCTGTTTCTTTGCCAGTGTTGATGTGGAGATTGTCTGGTTTGCCTACTCTGGAACATGCAACATATCATTGTCCTTCTTTAGGGGTCCCTTTCAAATCTTTGATACTGCATCTGTCATATACATATATGTGTGTGTGAATGGCTGGATGGCCCTTTGTCAGGAGGGCTTTGATTATGTTTTCTTGCCCTGGTGAAGGGAGTTGGACTGGATGGCCTTAAGGCAGCATTTCTCAACCTGGGAAGTCAAGACCCGGGGGGGGGGGTCACCAGGGGGTGTCAGAAGGGTCACCAAAGACCACCAGAAAACACAGAATTTTCTGTTGGTCATGGGGGTTCTGTGTGGGATGTTTGGCCCAATTCCATTGTTGCTGGGGTTCGGAATGCTCTTTGATTGTAGGTGAACTATACATCCTAGTAACTATAATTCCCAAATGTCATGGTCTATTTCCAAACTCCACCAGTGTTCACATTTGGGCATACTGAGTATTCATGTAGTTTGGTCCAGATCTATCATTGTTTGAGTCCACAGTGTTCTCTGGATGTAGGTGAATTACAATTCCAAAATTCAAGGTCAATGCCCACCAAACCCTTCCAGTATTTTCTGTTGGTCATGGGAGTCTGTGTGCCAAGTTTGGTTCAATTCCATCATTGGTGGAGTTCAGAATGCTCTTTGATTGTATAGGTGAACTATAAATCCCAGCAACTACAACTCCCAAATGACAAAATCATAATTTTTGAGTGATGGTCACGCCTTGTGTTGTGAGATGTTTTGTTGTCAAATTTGGTGTGATTTCGTTCATTGGTTCTTTTGTTTTTAAGGCACTCATTATGCACAGAGCATTGTTATATAGATAGAAAGATCTTAATCCTTTATGGCGATAAATATTTGGAAAGATGTCATATTATGGAGGGGGCAAGCTCTAGAGCAGGGGTCCTCAAACTTTTTAAACAGAGGGCCAGGTCACAGTCCCTCAAACTGTTGGAGGGCCGGATTATAATTTGAAAAAAACATGAATGAATTCCTATGCACACTGCACATATCTTATTTGTAGTGCAAAAACACTTTAAAACAATACAATAATTAAAATGAAGAACAATTTTAACAAATATAAACTTATTAGTATTTCAATGGGAAGTGTGGACCTGCTTTTGGCTGATGAGATAGGATTGTTGTTGTTGTTGTGTGCTTTCAAGTCATTTCAGACTTAGGTTGACCCTGAGCGAGGGCTGGGTAAATGACCTTGGAGGGCCGTATCTGGCCCCTGGGCCTTAGTTTGAGGACCCCTGTCCTAGGGCTTTAAAGGTCTTAACAAGTGTGAACATATTGGGGAAAATAGAATCCTGACATTTGGGAGTGGTAGTTGCTGGGATTTATAGTTCACCTACAATCACAGAGCATTCTGAACCCCACCAACGATAGAATTGGGCCAAACCTCCCACACAGAACCCCCCTGTGGGCCACAGCAACGCGTGGCAGGGGACAGCTAGTTTTTATATATAGAAGATAGAATAGGTAGATAGATATGGAAGGGGCCTCACACCCTGTTTGACAAAAAAGGGAGGAAGCCAAACCTGGGGGAGGCCTTCCCCTTCCAAGCTGCTCGCCTTTCAAGGAATACTCAATATGCCCAAATGTGAACACTGGTGGAGTTTGGGGAAAATAGAATCTTGACATTTGGGAGTTGTAGTTGCTGGGATTTATAGTTCACCTTCAATCACAGAGCATTCTGAACCCCACCAATGATAGCATCATACTAACAGGAGCGGAGCGCAGGGAGCATACAACTCCTCTGCTGCACCAGCTCCACTGGCTGCCGATTTGCTACCGGGCTCAATTCAAAGTGCTGGCGTTGGCCTATAAAGCCCTAAACGGTTCTGGCCCAAGCTACCTATCCGAACGTATCTCTGCCTATGAACCCACCAGGACTCTAAGATCTTCTGGGGAGGCCCTGCTCTCTATCCCGCCTGCATCACAAGCACGGCTGGCGGGGACGAGGGACAGGGCCTTCTCTGTGGTGGCCCCTCGGCTGTGGAACACCCTTCCCATGGACATTAGATCAGCCCCTTCGTTTATGGTGTTTCGAAGAAAACTAAAAACCTGGCTGTTTGAACAGGCGTTCGGATAAACAGTGCAATGTACACGAGGAATATAGGAAACGGAATTATGGAAGACGAATTGGATCACGATTCTAGTTACGAGACGTTAATGTGTTGTTATTGATGTGTCATTATCCTGTATATTATGTTGTTAATGGTTTTAAATGAATGACCTTTTGTATTTTGTATTATTGATATTGAGATAGCCGATGTTGTTGATGATGCTGTTTGATGTTGTTTTGATATTGCTAGGTTGTTGCTGTTGGATTGTGTTTTGTAATTTGCACCTTATTCTCTCCATGTTGTACACCGCTGTGAGTCGCCCCTGGACTGAGAACAGCGGTCTATAAGCACAGTAAATAAATTATTAAATAAATTCTGTATGTTGTTGGATTGACTTTTTGCTCTTGTTGTGAACCGCATTGAGTCGCCTACGGGATGAGAAACTGCGGTATACAAGCAAAGTAAATAAATAAATAAGATAAAATAGGTAGATAGATAGATAAATAGATGTGGAAGGGGCCTCACACCCTGTTTGACAAAAAAGGGAGGAAGCCAAACCTGGGGGAGGCCTTCCCCATCCAAGCTGCTCGCCTTTCAAGGCCAACCGGGGCCTTCCACACAGCTGTATAAAATCCACATTGAACTGGATTATATGGCAGCGTGGGCTCCGATGAGCCAGTTCAGCGCAGATATTGTGGGTTGCCTGCCTTGGTTTTCTGGGTTATTATGTGGCTGTGTGGAAGGGCCCACTGTTTGAATCTCTACGGCCTTCCCGCCTTCTGGCCCTCCCCGAATACAAATCGAGCCTGAGGCGCCACCATGACACAGCCGCGCCAAAACACCTCCATTCCCAGGCAAGGAAAGGAAAGGACGCTCCTCTCTGTATGTGCATGGCTCTGTGTGCGCGCGCCGGTTTGAACGCGCCAGGAAGAGCCGCTTTAACCCTTTGTTCGGAGGCCGAGCAGCCAAGAGCCATTTAAAGGCGAAGAGAGGCGGCTGAGGCGGCGGCTTTTTGTGCGTGTGGCGAGAGAGGGGCCTGGCGCCCCACTCCGCCCTGCCGCAACGGGAAGGCGCTCACAAAACAAGCCATGTCGGCGGAGGAAGCATGATTAACCCCTTCCAGGCCCGAAGGCCGACCTGCGCGGCGGCTTCCATCCTCCTCCCGCGCCGCGCCCCTTAAACGGACAGGCTCCCCCACCCGCGGCCTCTCCGGCGGGGAAAGGAGCGGGGCGCGTTCCCCTTTAAGGGCCCCTCCGGCCTCGCGCGCTTCCCTCTTACCGTCCGCCTCGCCAACGGGGCTCCCCTCCGCCCTTTTTTTTCTCTCTCTCTTCTTTTTGAAGCCCCAGCCAGCCAGTCCCACAATGCACCGGGCGCCTGGCCGGCCTGGCTGTCTCTTTCTCTCAGTCTCTCCCAGTTGGAGTCTGCGGCAAGGGAAGGGTTAACCCTCCCCTCAGTCACTCCCTCCCTCGTTGGCGCGCGCCGCTTTCCACCTCCTCTAGGCGTGCGGGCTGTAACGGCTGCGGCGGATACCTGCCTTTAAGGGGCGGGCGCTGAGAGGGCCGCGTGCGCACTTGGGAAGGGGCGGGGCGAGAAGGAGCGCGAGAGGGAGGGAGGCAGCCAAGAGGCCCGCCCCTGCCCTGCTGCCTGTGTGGATGGAACCAAACAGAAAGTGGCCCAGTAAAGCACAAAGCCACACTCAAGTAAGTTCCTGAACCATTTGCAACTCCCCAACACTGGCAGTCTTCA